GAGACCATTGCCTCTCATTCTTTCACCTGCAGGAGAAGCTTGGATGCATCGGAATTCTCACCTCCCTTTTCAGTAGTGTCTCTGCAATGAGATCCCCCAGCCCTCCCTTCTGCAGGCCAAACAAACCTAACCCCCATCACATCTCCTCACATGGCACATGCTCCTGCTCACCAATACTGGGGCTGTTGTTGGAGCCTCTCCAGTGTGTCAACATATCACATGTAATGGGGGAGTTTTCTAAAAACTGCACAGAATACTGCAGATGCAGCCTCACCAGTACCAGGCAGAGGGGAATAACCACATCCTCCATTTGCTGACCACTTGTTAATGCAATCCCATGACTGTTGTTGCTGCAGGGAAGCACTGCTGACACAGGTCCAACTTGTTTTCCACAAGAATCCCAAGGCCTTTCCTGTAGGGCTGCACCCTACAATCAATCCCCAGTTTGAACTGACGCATGGAGTTGTTTTGTTCCAGGTTGAAAAAATAAAGCGATTTTATTTTTCAGAGAATAAAAACAAATATATGAGGTGAATTAGACCAAATTTATCATGTCATTAAAGAGTTAAACCCTCATTCCTCTCATGCTGAATGTGATACTAATACAAATATGGAGCAATGGTGGTACATGGTAGCCCTGTTTCATACCTGAGAAATCTTAATTTTCTGCAGGAAGTTCTGACGTCAGTCACAGATATAAGCAAAGGGGCTGTAACTCAGCACAAATTACCCTTTTCCTAGCAAAAGGTCCTGCAGGCTTGAAAGAGAAGCTGGTAGGCCACTGGAATGAATCCCACTTCTATCTGTTCCCCTAGGACCTCAAAGGAGGAGCAGGCACCATTCCTAGAGGGGATGAGCTCTGTGTGGTTTTAAATCAGCATTTTAATCCTTCTTTTGACTTTGCAGATAGGCATACTAGCAAGAATTATCCTTCGTATACATTGAGGTAGGACACAGCTCCAGCTCTTGTAATCAACTAATTTGTTACTGTTCTAAAATAAAGAGTTTTTTATTTCCTACAAGAAGAGATAATTTATATCTCATGTTACCTCTGGTTCAACTAAATGAAAAATGGTACATTTCTTGTTCTTAAAGAAATAAATAAAGTTTATTTTGAAAACCCACCAGTTATCCTATTTCAATTTCCTTCCAGCTTTCCATGTTTTTTTTGAGGCAGACTCTTTTTTTGTCCCCTTCTATTTTCCAGAATTGCCTACTTCTCTTCAGAATGTTAAAACACACCTGCATATCCTATAAAGTGAGTGCAAAGAACTAAGCAGAGAGATATAGAAATACAAAAACCACTGAGCTGGGAACAGTCTAGAGTTGCTACTGGAACTGCTGAGCACAGACCTCTGTTCAGGCCCTTGCCAGGCTCTGGAGGCTCCACACCTCTCTCCTGCCTTCTCATTCTCTCTGTGTGGAGATACATGGCTGAACAGGGAGCAGTTTCTGAAGAACAGATGACACGAGTGTGTGCTGTCATTTTGAAGGTGGCATGGTCTGTGGTCACAGAAGGAAGCCAATGAAGCTAACAGGCTTCTATACTGAAACACTCCTACAGCGAGACAGGTGATCCCACAGACTGCTCCTTCCTGCTGCTGCCCAGTGTGCCAAGGCACAGCCAGTGCTGGCTCCTGGGCCATGATCATGCATCTGGTCACCCCACTGCCTCCCCCTTCCTGATATACTGGGACAAGCAAAGGACTCAGAGGGCTCTGTAGATCTCATGACAACTACAAAGCACATCTAGAAGCTTCTGGGAGTGCAAAGAAATTTTCAGACAAAGGCTTTTCTTTCAGCTTTATAAATATGTTTTCAGCCATCATCATAATGGATCAAAAAATAGCCCCAAGAACACTCCCACAGAACAAAACTCCCATGCAAGAGCTGTTTCTCATTCTTTCCATTTTTTCTTGCTTTATGTACAAATAAGATTATTGAGAACAGGTCTGTACTTAACAAAAGGATAAACCCTGCTAATCTACTGATTTGTCAGCTAGCATTTTGCTTATCACAGCACTGTTTGTTGGCTGGGGCAGACGTGGTCCCAATGTGCACAGCTGCGCAATGAAAACTGCATCGCGTCCTGTGAGAGTGTGGGCAGGACATGCAGTTTGGGGGGCTGGACAAAACGACTGTTCAAATCACAGACTGCTGTGTTTGTGATCTGGCTGTCCACATCCATCTCTGACAGCACACAATGCCATGCTGGAGAACATGTAAGCCAGAGCCAGTGATGGCAGGTAGCCACACAGCTGGGAAATGAAACAATGGGATGATTTTTGTTAGCTTGACAGGCAGAGATGGCAGACCACTATCTGATGGGGCGCAGCAAACAACACACTGGAGAGCCTCGACCAGCACAAAGGACTCTGAATGCGAACAGGATGAATGGCCACTCAGGATGCACATGGACTACAGCCAGCAGTGATGACAGGGTATAAAACACAGGAGGATGACAGAAACTCAAATGGAACACAGTGTAGGGGAAAAACTGATGCAGATCAATACACTAGGAGAAAAGAATGACACAGAAGGAAGGGCCACTGAGTGCTGAATGTGAGTGGGAGAAGACAGGAGCCTTGGCTGGGGTGACCAGTGGGTGTGGGGTGACGGTACTGGTGCCCGGAGACAGAAATGGGACCGAGAGCAGCCAGAGCCACTAGCTGTCACTTGGGCCACCCAGCTGAGCACAGCCACCCGGCACAGCCCGGCATGACCACGGCCCTGGAGCCAGCACTGGCTGTGCCTTGGCATGCTGGGCAGCAGCAGGAAGGAGCAGTCTGTGGGATCACCTGTCACAGTTCAGGAGCGTTTCAGGACACTTCACAATGAGCCCCTGGAGCTGTCGGTGTGCTTCGAACACTGTGTCCTCTCCCGGACAAGGAGGAGCAGCTCAGCAAAGGCCTGTGCTGGGCACTGCAGCCAGACCATCCCCTCCCTCCCTCCCTCGCTCTGCTCCCGGGGCGGCTCCGCCGATGGGGCGGCAGCGCCGGGGCCTCCCGGCGGCTCCGGGGGCGGGCGGAGGCTCGAGTCTGACCCCGCTTCGGGCGGAGCCGCCGGGTGCGACCCGGGCGGGCCCACACCCCCCTCATCCCGCACGCACCCAGCACACCCCTTACGCCGCACAACCCTCACCCCACGCTCCGCACACACCCTTCACTCCGCACACTCCTCCCTCACGGCCTCGGGCCGGCGGTGCCGCAGCGCCCCCGTCGCCGCGCTCGGGCAGAGCGGTTGGTCCTGGCGGGGCTCCCGCCGCGTCCCGTCAGCCCCCGGGGCGGCTCGTGGGGGGCTCGGCCGGGCCGAGCCGCGCTTACGGCAAAGCCACCTCCATCCCACCAGGAGCAAAGCCCTCCCCTCCTCTGCGTGTCGAGCAAATCGCCTGACTCGCACTGTATGGAGGAGATCCGCTCCGTTCCCCCTTCTCCCGCCCCTGCATGGAGCGGGTGCTCTCCACTTCCCTCCCTTCCTCAAACACACCACGGCCCACAGCGCGTACACACACGCATAAGACACACAGACAGACACACACAGACATACAGAGACACACGAACAGGCACACACACACACACACACACACGCGCGCGCGGTGTCGGGCGCTGATCCCCACTCACCCCCTCCGCTCCTGCCAGATCCGCAAATACGCGCTGCCCGGAGGAGCCGCTGTCCCAGTCCCCGCAGGGTTATGCCAGGGACTGCTGCGGAGGCAGCAGGACAGAGCAGCTCAAGACCCTGGTTACAGCCTGACAGAGATCTTCTCTGTGTTTTCCCTAATTCACCGTTAGCTTCCCTCAACCAGGAGAGTCAAAACTGAGGAAAAAAACCAGGAATGGGCTCCCATTGCCCTAGTGAACCACTGGCAATCCTGCTGCATCCAGTCACAAACTCTCACTGTCCATCTTGTAGTGAATCAATACTCCTTACAGTCACCTGAGCATTACTCGGGTTTATTTTTATTTCGCACAACTTCTACTTAGGGTTGGCTAAATGTATTAGTTACACACACACCTGGTTACTTGAAGAAAGTAGTGAGTTACTTGAAGAAAGTAATGGGTATCTGCTGGATACACAGAAGTCCATATCGGGAGGGAGCCTGCCACAGCTCTGGTCATGGACCTCATTTCTCTGATTTCTAAATATAAAAAAAGGAAGATAATGTAGAGGATATTGGAGCAACTGAATTATTTGTGGACTTGTTTCAGGTTTGTGGCTATTGCAAATGTACTACCATTTTCCTGATGAAGAGCTATTATCTCCCAATTCTGCTGGAAGACCTGGATTCTTAGAGGTGATCATATTTGGTCTGACTCTTGGGAGTCACCAAAAGGACTTTCAAAACACACTGGTTTTGAATAAGTGCCAGTTTTTGGCCTTGAGGTCACTCAGAGAAAGAGTGGGAGGAATACAGCTATGGCTGTATTCAAGGTGTTTGGGCAGAGGCCTTTGTGACACTGGCTGCATAGGAATGGTCCCTTTCTGCATCTCTACAACTCACCTGGCCTTCAATGTCACGACTTTTGGCTCGTAACTTGTTAACCTGACATTCGGCAATATCAGCTCGTTCTTCGGCCTCTTCCAGCTCGTGCTGGGCCTTGCGGCATCGCGAGAGATTAACGTTTGCCTGTTCTTCCTGGAAGTCAGACAGCACTGTCAGTGACACAGACAAAAATGACATTGCCCTGTTACCATTAACACCCGTGGCCGTGCCACAGAAATGTCACCTGGTTTAGCCTCACAGGTACATACCTGCATGGCCAGTACCCTGTGCATTTCTATGTAGTACCCCTTGGAGGGCAGAGCAATTAGTCCTGCTCAGTTCCAGCTGGGAAAATTGGCTTGTGTGGCTCCAAAGGTGCAAGAGTTCCAAGATAATTATAGCTACGCCCACTCTGTTCTGAGCTGTCTTTATAAAATAAAGGATATTCAAAGGCAGTGGCCATTGTTGCCCTGTCAAACTGAGTATTCAAATATTTTAATGAGCTAGAGAGCCCAGACCTTTTGGAAATCTGTACCCAAGCCCACTGAAAAAAGACCTGCACTCACAGCTTCCTCAGCCTGTTTCTTGTATGCTTTCACTTTTAACTGCAGCTTGTCCACCAGGTCCTGGAGCCGGAGAATATTTTTCTTATCCTCTTCAGACTGTAGGAAGTGAAAATCATGTCAGCTTTGGAACACGGACCGAGGTCATCCACATAAGAGGGCAGAGGATTTGCAATACCTGGTAAGTGAGCTCCTTCAGCCTTCGTTCGTACTTGCGAGCTCCTTTCAGAGACTCTATTCCTCGTTTCTGCTCAGCATGAAGCTCATTTTCTAACTCATTAATCTGAAACACAGAATTATGGTGAAGATAGCAAGCTGCCAAGAATGGCTGCTGATCCTGCTGCAGGATCCTGGGGACCAGAGTTTTGCAGATAAAGGCTGCAGAGAAAGTGGCAGACAGAGCAGGGCAGATTCCCGTAGTTGCTTCTTGGGTCTAGACTAGCTAAAAAATGCTCACCATGCTATGTTAGTTGTGACATAGTGTATGAATCCATAGTTATTTATAAAAGGATATAGAAAGGTAAATTGTGCATACTTAGAGCATTTATAATCAGAATTAGGCTTAAATCTGTCAGAGAAGAGGAAATTGAAACAGAGAAGGGAGGATCTATCAATATTCACCAGGTAAATGGTGAAAATCTGTTTCATTTGTTATCTTTGACTCCAGCTCATCCTCATGAATAGTCCTTAACAACCTCCCAATGCTCCATCCCTCTTCTGCAATGTGTATGAGAAAAACCTGAATTCCAGTGTTTTTATTTCTGTGTGGATGTTTCCTTTCAAAGCCAAGAGCGCCAAATTCCCAATCAGTTGTGCTGTATTTTGAAACAGAAACAGCTGAAGAGCACAATAAGTGGGTCAGGCAAGTAGTCCACCTAGCCTAATGCTCTGCTTCTGAGAGTGGCAGCAGCATATACTATTTAGGGACAGCATGGGAACCTGGCTGCTGTCTACTCCCTTCACACTTGTCCAGTTTCCGTAGCCGTTAGATTAGAAGTGTAAAGTGTGGCAGCCTGTTCCCTTAAGTATGTCTATAAACCTGCTGATTTCTACTCCCTTTTTGAGCCTTTTACCATCTGCCTCTATAGCCTCTCATGGCAGCACATTCCAGAATTTCACTGCCTACTCTGTAAAGTACTTCCTTTTATTTATTTTAAACTAATCTCCAGGTGAAGATGTCTTGGTCTCTTCAAATAGCAGAGTCCTAGTCTTGTTTGTCAATACTCATAAGGCTTCACCCCCAGATCCTTCTTGAGCTGCAGAGAACAAAACTACACATGGTATATTTAATATAGTGGCAAGGATGCTCTCTGTCTTATTCTCAGCGCCTTTCCTAATGAAGCCCAAATTATTTTCTCTTTTAGGTCTTTGGTTCTACTGCACATTGAACAGTTTCTGAGACCTGTCTTGGATGAGACTGCGATCTCCTTCCTGTCTGGGCTGTATTTTTCAGTTCCAAGTTCATCCCCAAGTAAGTATGCTTTAAATTATTTTTCCCTAGACAAAAGTTACTGTCTGTGTCCACGTTATGTTTATCTGCCCCCATTTTTGCCCACTCAGTGTTTATGAGGTCATTCTCAAGTTCCTTGCCCACAGTGCAATGTTTTTCTAGTCGGCGTAGCTCTCATCAAACCTGCTGGGAATATCTGGGGCTGTCCCTGTTGCCACCCACACAAGAGGTTCCGGCAATCAAAAGCCCAGTCAGAAACTTCACCTCAGGCTACCCAAGTCTTCACCATACCCTTGCTTCTAGTTTCTGGAGTTGCTTCTTTCCACCCTTCAGAGCCAACTGCTCGGCCTCTTCCAGACGGTGCTGCAGGTCCTTCACTGTCTGTTCCAGATTCCTCTTCATCCTCTCCAGGTGGGCACTGGTGTCCTGCTCCTTCTTCAGCTCTTCTGCCATCATGGCCGCCTGGTTGTAGGGCACAGTTGTGTTACAAATACGCCTCCCCATCCTGGCAGTTCTGTGTCCCTGGGAGCAAGACCCAGCTTCTCACTGGTGTGTGGCCCTGCAAGTTCTCAGTCAGGGCCCACAGCTGTGCTAAGGATCTGTCATACAAAGAGGATCATTGTTCCTCAAAGTCTAAAACTGCTTCACCTTGGAGAACAGGCAGGGTTGACATAAAGAAAAAATTAATTAAGGCATGCAAATGGCTTGGTACCAAAGTTTTATTTTTTAAGTCATTGAAAATTAGGGATATTGTGAAATATCACCAGCTAGCACTCTGTGTCTCTGGGCTCCCAAGTGATTATGAGTGTCTGGCTATTTGGTGCCTAAATTTGCCAGAGGCAGACTACTAAGCAGTTTTTGCCAATGAAATGACCCTGAGTACCTCAAACTGCACTGAAAAGCTTGTGCCTGCTGAGATCCTCAGGACCCAGGATGGGTAGCTGTTCCCAGTGTGGCAGAGCAGAGAGGTCAGGGGGACATGCAGCACTGCAGGACTAGACACTGGTGCACCAGGACTTGATGCAATAGTGTCAGTATTTTCTGTTTCATTTCCATATACCTGTCCTAGATGGTCCTAAACGTTGGTAGTTCTGATGCTGTGAAACTGTAGTCTTATTTAAATGAAACATTTATATTCTCTCTTTTTATTTCTTACATGTCTAGCATTTGTATAGAAGTGTGTATGATTTTTGTCTTAATTTCTGATTTTCTGTACTGTGTCTAAACAGGCCTCGGTCCAAATAACTCTTTTCCTATTGCAATTTTGCCACCATCTGTTCTATCCTGTCTATTACATTTATTCTGGAAGCAAAAGTGAATGGGTTTGGGAAAGGGGAGAGGAGATGCCTCTTCAATACAGACTGCTAGCAGGACATGAGGACCATTTCTGAAGGGGTGTTCTGTGGCAAGCAGTGGGGCAGGGCTGTGTGAGGTCCATGTGGGAGGAATTGTGTGTCACAGATACTTTCTGTTGAAGAATTGGTTCTCCTCCACGTGATTCATACCTTTCTAAAGTGTAAAAGTGACTATGGTAGTATAAAATGGAAGGGAGGCAAGCAAGAGGACTCACATCTGTGATCGCTTTCTTTGCTTTCTCCTCTGCATTTCTGGCTTCCTGAATGCTGTCTTCGACTTCATTCTGTAAATGAGTAATGTCCACTTCCAGTCTTTTCTTGGTGTTGAGGAGGCTTGTGTTCTGTTGGGACAGTCAGAAGACAGGTCATTCCCACCCCATTTGTGCCACTCCCATATGCCTATGGTAATCTCCTTTACTAGGAGATGCCAAATACCTGTGAGTGGAGCAGCTGCACTCGCTCGCTGGCATCTGTCAGCTCCTGCTCAGAAACCTTCCGGGCTCGCTCGGTCTGCTCCATAGCAGCTCTCATCTCCTCCATTTCTGTTGTCATCAGATTGTTCCTACGCTCCACCATGGCAAGCTGCTCTTTCAGGTCATCATTCTCTCTCAAAGCATCATCTAAATGGAGCTGGGAATCCTTAGGAGGGGAAAGCACCATGAGAGACTCAGAGGCAAGCAGAGTGAATGGCAAAGACCTGTGGGACAGAAGCCTTGTGGTTCCTACCTTGAGTTGCCCTTGCACGGCTTTAAGGTGTTTCTGTGTCTCTGCTACCTGACAGTTGGCATGCCTCAGCTGTATTTCCATGTCATTCAGATCTCCCTCCATCTTCTTTTTCAGCCTCAAAGCATCATTTCTGCTTCTGATCTCAGCATCCAGCGTGGTCTGCATAGACTCTAATACCCTCTGGTGATTCCTCTTCAGCTGTTGAATTTCCTCATCTTTCTCTGCAGTCCTTCTATCAATATCTGACTTCACCTGGTTCAGCTCCAGCTGAACACGTAAGATTTTTCCCTCTTCGTGCTCTAAAGAGCCCTGTCAGGGTTGAAATATTATCATTTGTCTCTGCAGTGTCCATTGGTGGGAAATGCCCTTGCAGAAATGTGACTCTTTGCAGCCAGCAGGGCAGGTGTATTTGCCTTACTGTGGACCTTTAGAAAAGGCCAAGTACTGAAAAAACTGCTATCACAAACTCAAGAGTCACTGTACCTCATCTGGATATTAAATGGTAATTTAGGAATAATACTCCTTAGGGAAATGCCTCCAATACCACAAGGTCTGGGCACTGAGGGCTATTTTGACACTGCAGAGATAACAAATCATATGAAAACATAAAATAGGACAGCCAAGCCTCCTGCTCAGAAGCAGCTTGCCTTCTCTTGCACCTCCATGATGAATTCTGCTTAGGGACTCTACCCTTAGTCCCATTCCAGTGACTGTGTGGGCATGTTCCCCTTCCACACAGCCTTTTCCCTCTGGTACTGGTGTCATCTAGCTTCAGCTAAAAGGAGTTAAAAGCCTGAAGCTGGCTCTTTACAACCAGTGGACAGAAATAAGACATCCAGAGAATGAAACAGTTGATGTAGCCCTGGCATCCCTTTTAAGAAGAAACTCTCCAGAGATGCCTGTTTCTCCTTTTTGCTTCTAGAATCAGCCTATGGTGACTAATTCGGGATTAGATTGATGACATTTAGATGCATAAATTAGAGCAGATGGATTTCATGACCAATACCTCTTTCTCCTACTGCCCGCCCATCTAGTGAGATCTAGAGATGTACCAGTTGTTTTATACTTCTTTTTCTACCTAAGGGAAGTTACAGAGAAAATAAAGTGAGGCTCTTCTTAGTGGTGGACAGCAAAATGACAAAAGGCAACAGTCAACAGTTGGTACAAGGGAAATCCTGACTGCATATGAGGATAAAAGTGTTTTCCCATGAGAATGGTGTTGCACTGGAGAAGGCTGTCCAGCAATAGTATGACATATTCATCCTTAAAAATTATAAAGATCAATTACACAAGGCTTTGAGCAACCTAATATAAGTTCAAAGTTGGCCATGTTTTGACCAGGAAGTTGGACTAAAGACCTCCAGAGATCCTGTCCAACTTAAGTTAATTCTGTTTTTGAGGTATGCCGTAGGTATATCATGGACAGCTCATTAAGTGCTCTCAAAGACATTTTGTGGAGAATCAGATGTGGTCATGCAGAAGTATAAAACGTTTTCCAAGAGACAGGCAGGGCAGATAGGGAATAGAAGGCAGAACCCAGACAAGAGGGAACTGAAGGAGCTACAATGTGACCTGGAATGGCAAAAAAAAAGTAAGATTTGAAGCAATGGAGAACTGAGGGATAGCCAAAGACAGTAAGGAAGACAGAAATCATGGAATTGTGGGACCTGGCATACAGCCTGTGCCAGCAAAGCATGACAGTGTACTAGTGTACTCCAAGATTCAGCTGATCCCCAGCAACCTCTTCATGTTCATCAGAACGCACGTCCTGTGAACTGACTCCTCTTTAAACATGTTACTGACTCCCACTCATTCGAAGTGGAGGAACTCAAGAAATATTGTCTTAATTTTCTTCAGCATTCAGCTTGCTTTGAGCAGGGGGTGACATTGAGAAAACTCGAGTATTGGTTAGACCTTCTTGGAATACATCCTTGATTAATTTGACTAGAAAACAAAAATTATCAGTGTTTTGAAGTACAAATTACTTTTCTTCAGCTTTCTATGGGAGCAAATTCAAACATGATGCAAAATGAACTCAATTTTAGACTGGGACTGAGGTTTTTTTGTACATGGTAGTACAGCAAGGAATGCCACATTAATATGGAAGAGAAGCGGATCCTGAGCTATTTGGTCTGTCTGTGCTTTCTTGCTGCACCTTTTGGACAGTTTAAGGATATCAGGAATATAAAATATATATTTAAATTTTCCCCATTCTTGATTTCTTTGAAAGCAAGCACCTTATTGAGGACACTTACCTCCGCTTCTTCTAATGCTGCTTGTAGGTCACACTTTTCTTGCTCAATTTGCTTCTTTGCTTTCTCCAGCCCATGATTTGCTTTTCCACACTCAGCAATCTGTTCAGTCAGATCAGAAATTTCCTCTGCAACCAGAAAACACATACTCTTCTCATCTTAGATAATGTTATCAGTGGCACCTGCAATTGTTCTTTGGCAACGAGAGTGATGGAACAGAACTGATGTAATGGGATGAAGCAGTGAGGAGAAATCACAGAATCATGAAATCATAGAATATTCTGAGTTGGAAGGGACCCACAAGGATCGAGTCCAACTCTTCAGTGAATGGGTAGGGTATTGAACCTGTGACCTTAGAATTATTAGCTCCAAGTTTTAACCAACCGAGCTAATTGCACACTTCTCTCATGTGCAATCTTTATTTCTGATAACCTGCTCAGTGTGCAATTTGAACACAGTTCAGTGTGCAATTTGAAAATGAGAGGGACCAACTGGAATGAGCTCAGAAAATAATGTCAACTTCCTCTGGGTAGTGAAATTACATCTCCAAAGACAGTCCCCAGTGACCATTCAGCTCACAAAAAGGATCTGAGTTGTATTTCCTTTGTATAGATAGTTTGCTTATTAAATGCCAATCCCTTGTGCCACAGCTGCATAAACCTCCAATAATCAGGAGACAGATAACAGCCCTCCAGATTTTTTCTAGTGGCAGTGACTGACTGAAGTAATCTGAAAAAACTTAGAATCATCATAATTTCTGTCTATTCAGTTAATTTGGTCCCTATCCATGCATGGGATCATGACGGTGTGAAGGAGGAGGAAGTAGGATGCTGTAATGAGCTGTAGGCATGTGTTTGCAGGTGACTTTATGATCAGCTGAACAAGAAAGAAATTTGCTACCTTTATGGAAAATTATAAGGAACAAAACCTTGGGAAGAGGCAGAGTTCTGGTAGTCCAGAGATGTGGAAGCATCTTAGGGCTCATGGTGAATTCCTGGTGACAGATAGCTGAACTTACGCTGGAGGTTCTTGTTCTCTCGTCTGACAGTCTCAGCCTGGTCAAGCATTTCTTCATAGGCATTCTTCATCCGGAAGATCTCAGTGCTGAGAGAGCGAGACTCCTTCTGGGCAGCTTCCAGCTCAGCCTGACTCTCCTGGTACTTCTGCTTCCATTCAGCCATGACCTGGAGTAACAGAAGCATAAGAATGACCTGTTCTGCAACACTCCTGTCTCTGCACCTTTACAAGAACTCAAGAGGCATGACCTATCTTGCAGTCTTTGGCTTTGCACTGTTCTCTGCCTGTGACAATCAACTCGCTGTGATACATACTCTGGCTGTTTTGGTGGAATCTACTTAAATGTGCCTCTTCATCCAGCACTAGTGCATGCCCCAGACTCTCAGGCAGGAGTTTGATGGGACACCAGACTGGACGCTGTGGTTGGTCTGAATAAGGATGTGTGAGCCTTTGTATTACTGCAGGAGCCAGTGGTCCTGGACTCAGGAGAAGACTCCAACAAGAAAGGCTGGAGTCTACTGGTTCTCTCCTGAATTTGATACCACGGCTCTGTAAGGCATCCTTTTTAGTACAGTGACTTAATTCACTCACACAAGGCTAGACCAAGGCACAGGGGTATGCAACATCCGTAACTTGGTCCAACAGTGTAGATTCTTTTAAATATTAGTAAAGGCAATGCAGGCTGGAACATTACATGACTCTGAAGCTCTGCCTCACCCAAATACAAGGCTGGCAGACTAGCACCAGGCAAAAGTCAGGGCTTGATAGCTGACATGTGAGTACTTGCTCAGTCTGCTTGACCAAAGACTACATATGGATCCTGCCAGTCTCCCTTGCAAAGATTTCATGCTTTCAAAAACTATCAGAAGGCTACTTCATCATTTGTTGCGGTCATCTGGGTTTACTTACACAGTGACTTTATCTTTACCATATGTCATATTATGTGGTCCTTACCATAACTTTGCTTTGGGTAAGATGCAATTTATCTTACTGTTAGTGTAGAACTTTGATAATTTCAGAATTTGTCCTGGCCTATCAAATATCTAATGATGTTCAGATCTGGCATGGTCTTTTGAATGAACCTTGTCAAAATTCTTCTGCTTTTTATCAAATGCTGCACAGACTGCATTTGACCTCTCCAGGTCAATCGTCAGGTCATCCACTTCCCCCTGCAGCCTCTGCTTTGTCTTCTCCAGTGAAGCACACTTTGCATTGACAGCCTCAATCTGTTCCTCTGAGTTCTGCAGGCGCTGGGCCAGCATCTTCCTGCAGAACGAGAAAATCACCACTGAGAAAAGGAAAATTCTGACCTCAGAAAACGGACATGAAAGGCATTGGGAATGGGAGAGCAACATAGAACGCTGTGGTGCTAAGAGCCTGGGATGACACAGCACTCTGGAGTGGTGCATGGGAAGGGAGAATACGTACCCAAGTACATACTGTACCAATGTGGAGAGGGACCAGAAATACACTTTCGATATTGGCAGTGTAAAGAATGTGATTTTTCAACTACTATGGTTAGTTCAATAGTTAATGCACTGGAATTCTCTTATGTAGACACTCTTGAGCCTCGACCTCTACTCCTCCCTTAAATGTCTACTCACTTCGCTTTTCACTCCTAATACATTACAAAGCACACTGCTCTACGTATTCCCACTACAGGTGTATTCTGGTTTCCTTCAGTTATACTCATTTATACTTAAATATCTTTCTACTTGTTCCAGGCCATCCCACTCCCCACGTACTTGGCCTCCTCGAGCTCCTCCGTGCGCTGAATCGCGTCCGTCTCGTATTTGGTTCTCCACTGGGCCACTTCGCTGTTGGCCTTGGACAGGGCGCGCTGCAGCTCCCCCTTGGCTTCCTGCTCCTCCTCATATTGTTCCCGGAGCAAGTCACAGTCGTGGCGAGCGGACTGCAGGGCGTGGGCCAGGGCGTTCTTGGCCTTGATAGTTAAAATGATACAAATTGTCAAAACGCTAACAATGTGTGACTGGATTTTTTTTTACTGCACTTTGATCAAAGTTTCGCTTCATATCTCCCTGCTACAGTTGCTAGAGCAACAGAAGGAACAACATGAATAGCATTAGGGACTCTGTGTTTCAAACTTGATGCTATTAAACAAGGTCAGATGCTTGTCCATCTTTTTCTGGGACACCACCTCTCAAACACATCTGCACCAAATGCTTCAGGAAAAGATAGAATAAATCCAGCAACAGACAAGGTGCAAGCACTCCTGCTCTATTTCCTTTTTTTGGCTGCTGCTGTTTGCTTTGCCTCAAGGATTTCCAGTAGCAGTAAGGCAGACACACAGAGCTGATTTTATTCACTTCTCTCATGTTTTTGAACTTCAGAAGTCTTGATGAGAAGGACTTAAACTTTCTTCCTTATTTGATTTCTGATGTCTCTTCTCTATATTATACCACAAGGCACAGTTCAAAATTTTCACTGTTCTGATGTCACCACCTTTCTCTGAGGAGAAATCTAATTTGGTTTTTTTAGTGCATTTATTTATTTTACAAGTTGTCAGTCCAAATGAAAGCAAGTCACCTTATTTTCTTCCTCTAGTTGCCTCTTCAGCTCTTCAATCTGCTGAGTGAAAGCATGTTTGCCTCGAGTCAACTGAGAAATCAAGGACTCCTTCTCCTCCAGTTGCCGAGTAAGTTCACCTAACGAGAAAAAGTTGATTTTTTTAGACAGAGATATGAGACATAAAACAAATGAATGAGAGCAGCTAGCCATGTGGAAAGTGATTACAAGATATAATGTGGTAAATTGAAGGGTTAGAAGCAATATCATTCCCACCGATAGGAGAATCTGTCAAAGAGAAATGCTGTGCTGGCATCAGAGGAAAGAAGATAAACTGATCACAAACTCACACATTCATTTTGATTGACAGTTCTTCTTTTGGTTTGGTTTTATGTTTCCTTGGGTGGCATTTGTATGACTGCCACCAGGAGGAAATTCTACATTGTGAGTTTTGTTCAGATCACTGAGTAATGAACATGTTACAAAATACACAGGTATTCAGGCAGCATATTTAAGTACCTGACACGGGAGTATTACATCTCATCAGGGGACATACCATTCTCAGTCTGTAGGCGTGTTTTCTGTGTGTTCAGATCATTAATTAGTCGCACATGTTCGTCATCTTTTGTTCTGACTTCACTGAACTGGTCTTCGAGAGCTCGGCACATCTTTTCCAGATTGCTCTGTGAAGAGACAGAAAGCATCTCCTTCAGCTCATCCAGTTGTTCGGAACAACAATGGTAATGATGAGAAACATTTCTTCCTGTGCAGCAACCTTGGCTTTGGAGACAGACTCCATGTTACTGGCCAAGTCATCAATCTCCATCTTGAGCTCGCTCTTCTCCTTCTCCAGCTTCTGCTTGACGCGCTGCAGGTTGTCGATCTGCTCCCCCAGCTCAGCTGTGCTGTCCGCGTGCTTCTTGCGCAGGGCGGCAGCCGTGGCTTCGTGCTGCAGCGTGGCCTCTTCGAGGTCCCGGCGCATCTTCTGGAATTCTGCCTCCCGCTTCTTGTTCATCTCCACCTGAGCTGCCGTCGCCCCTCCTGCTTCTTCCAGGCGCTCGCTGATCTCCTCCAGCTCCCTGGACAGGTCAGCCCGATGCTTCTCTGCTTTAGCGCGAGAGGTTCGCTCGGCCTCGATTTCCTCCTCCAGTTCCTCATTACGGGCCTGAGAGAGTTAATTGGTTAAAAGAGGACTTCTGAATAAACAGATTTGAAATTATTATTAAGGAATAAAGAGCAAACATTCACATCCATTTATGGAAGCGTAGAAAGAAAAGCACCATTAGAAACTTCACTGAATTGGGTCCTAGGACATGCAATATTCAGCTTTGGAACAACAGTGAATGTAAAATCTGATACTTCATTTTATGTTACAGATCAGAATGGATTTATTGTTTTGTGAAGAAATTAGAATTGCACTTTTCTGAAGAAATAGAGGTGGTGTCACTGGAAAATGTAAAACAATGCAAATTTCTTGAAAATTTTCCAAAGGGCAAGCCAGAACAAAACAGTGTCCCTTCTCCATCAGCAAACAGGATGGAAGAAACTTTGAGATGAGCAGTCATGGCATAATAACACTGAAGAGAGCTGTCTTCTGGCTCTGCGTTTAGAAGGTGATCTTTGTCCTGATCATGACACATTATGTCACATTCTGTTGTTTCCTTAGAAAAGCCATTCTCAGTGTCATTTTTAAAGCCTATAACAGTCTTCACCTAAAACATTTCCTACATATTTATGTATGATTAGAGGCCAGAGTCACTGTAAAAGTGCCCTGAGATGGGAACAGCACGCAGAGTCCATATTAATGGTTATTCATTTGAGAGAAAATATTTTTGTAGAATGGTGTAAGAATAAATATTATTTAATTCTAAGAAACTTGTTCTTGCTATTAGAAGTATTAATAACTCTTTAGACTTTACCTGAAGCTCCTTAATTTTCTTTTGCAGCTGAGAACTTTGAGCCTGTTCATCTTCAATTTTACTTTGCAACTGGCTAATTTCAAAATCCTTTCTGTTAAAGAACAAGAGGGCAAATGCAATACAGTTAAGATAAAACCTGAATTTCAGAATTCAGAGCATAAGAGGTCAGTGCAATACTTTTTTAGCCTGTCATCCATCTGTTGCTTGTCATTTTCCAGATCCATGACGGAATCCTGAAACATTTTCAGATCACCCTCCAGTTTTCTCTTTGCTCTCTCAAGGTCCATTCGCAGTTTCTTCTCTTGTTCCAGAGATGCTTCAAGCTAAAACACATATAATATACTTTGAAACACATAAATTTTACTTTGAAAGTAACTATTCTTGTTTTAATAATCTAACTAAGTTGGAAATTGATGCATAGAGAAAACAATCAGATTATCTCCACCTGTGCTACACTCTCATTGTGAGATCAGAGCTGCCATGGTCATTTGATTTCAGTCATTGAGCTGTCCACAGCTTGGCTGTGCACAGTAGAAATAAAAGTTTTTAAAAAAAACAGAAATTAAAATCTTCCAGTGGCTGCAGTCTCTAGCATACAGACCGCTAAATATGGTCGAATTCCCAGTATTCATAACTTCCTGGCGTATATGCACACACAAATAACTGTGTAGCAACTTTCAAACTGTCACAGGTGTCCTGCTCCAGCTAATGGTTTAAATCAGGTTACAGAAGTCTACAATGCTGAAATGCCCAGTGATGAACATGAAAAATGTACTGCATTCTACAATTCCCTGTTAATTAGCTGAAATTATTAGAACTGGCTCAATTACTTTAGGTGTTGCTTATACTCCCAATTACAGATTTCTAGTCTCTTCTAATATGTTAGAGCATCTATATACAGAAATTGAAAACTTTTACTTACATCATCTACTTGCTGCTCCAGTTTGGTCTTGGCTTTGGTGAGCGTGCTGACTTTGTCTTCCTCAACTTGCAAGTCATCCAGCGTCTGCTGGTGGGCTTCCTGCAAGGCCTTTTTCTCCTTAGTGAGTTTAGAAATATTTTCATCCAGAGTTGCCATCTCTTCAGTAAGATTCTTAACCTGTCAGACAGCCAGCATCCATACTATGAAGGGATGCCTTGAGAAATGGCACAGCAAGAACACAGTGAGTGCATCCTTGCAAGCTCTTGCATGAATGTAGTCAACTCTCCACAGTATGTTTATATTGATTTTGATGAGGGCAGCAGCAAGTGTCATGCCTGAGGGTCTGACCTCTCTGGTTCTGCTTGTAGGAATTCTTGCTTTAGTTATTTTTGACCCCCAGTCCTATCCTACTGAATTCTGTAGTGGAACATGTTCTGGATCTTCACTTGCCTCTGAAAGCATTTCCCACTGGGATTTACAAAAGCCCTCTGAATTGCTCATGCTCAAGAAATGTCTCTCCTGCATGTGATATTTTGCTACGAAAACAGCTGTAAATTCTCAGCAAGTCAGGTTATTTAAAAAGATATGATCAAGTGGCAAGCATAACCAAAGATATGTTAAGTTTTCTGTAAAACTGAAAGAAACACAATGACGTGACAAAGACCCTTATGCCTGTGGAACAAGCATTCACATGTTTAGGGGAGGGGCTTCTAACTGGGCTCTGCTAGCTTTATCTTGGAAATTCCTTGTACTCAATAGAGCCTTGCACATCAGCAACCTTATCTCAAATGCATCAGGTCTGTGCATTAGCCTGCCTAATCCTTGCTTCCCATTTGTCACATTTGAATGTGAAAGCCTGACAGTAAAGATAAGGAAAATCCATGCTGCTAAGTGTGGAAGTGGCCCTGATATCCTAATACCCACCACTAGCTAGATTTTCTCTAGGCATTAGTGTAGCAATGTCCAACACATCTGTAATTGCAAACAAGATCTGGTATTGATCTCAGTAATGGCAGTGGAGGGAACTCAACATTGTAGCTACAGCTCTGCCATCATTGTTTCTACAGCAGGGCAGAACACTGTCCCCACACACATGGACTTTTGAATTCTAACATATATAACTCAATTCTGTTTCTTCATATCGATTGTAGAGATGTACATGTGCATTTCCTGGGAGATAAATGAGTTAATGACCACTTGATATAGACCGTCCTTGCTACACTGACAGTATGAACACCACAAATCAGGAAGGACTTTCGTTGTATCATCAGGTCAATGGAAGGGAAGGATATCCTAGCTGAAACCTGGTCTTCTTAAATACATCATAAGAAAACATTTAACATCTGCAAAATCAGTTCTCGTGCATGTGAGAAAGAACCAGCATAGCTGTTCTATGCTGAGTTGCTCACAAGCATCATAGTCCTCCATTATGCACAGGAGACACAAATATACTGATTCCTTAAGACTGCAAATAGGCAAATATGAAAATTCTCTATAAAGCACCATAACAACCTCTTAACTCTTTTTGAACTGTCACAGAAAATACATCGTTCCTAAGAAAAAATTAAAATTTTAACAGAAAAAATTCTGGCAGCTGATTAAGTGAGAATACCTCTCACCCATGCCTTGGGGACATCTCACTTCTGTTCAGAACACTTAAGAATGACTGCAACTTTCCACAAAACTGACAACTGTCTCTGAAAACTGTCTGGGGAAGAATAATTCCCCAATTTCTCTGTCACCTTATTCTCTGTTGCATGCTTCTCCTTTTCCACTTTGGCCAGAGTCATTTCAAGATCATCAATATCTTTCTTCAGCTCAGAGCACTCATCTTCAAGTTTCCTCTTCTTTGCTGTCAGTTCAGCATTTGTCTCCTCTTCACCTTCCAATCTTTCATTCAGTTCTTTAATTTTAGCTTCCAGCTGGATTTTACTTTTAATGAGTCCTTCACATCTCTCTTCAGCATCAGCTAGATTTTCCCTCTCCTGTCAGAACATATTGAATGCTCATTATATTTATCATAACAATGACAAAAGGCAACAAGTTCAAGTTCCATATCCACAAAATTGATTGCACAAGTCAGGGCAGTAATGCCTGTGATTCAATCATGAGGAAATTATCCTGTTCAGCCATGGCTAGAAAAGTGGACTATAATCCCATGGTAGAGACACTTCCTTTTAGCTGGTCAAATAGTTTGACTACAATACCATACAGTAGACTCACAGGGTTCAGTCGTAACAAGGAGCTTGCAAGGAATTAGTGAAATAAATAGGTGGGCAGAAAACTGGA